GGCTTCTAGAAGGCTTTACCCTGGGGGCATCGGATATCATACATTGCGCAAAAAAGGGTCTCTTTCGTGATGATGTAAACATTTCAGAGGAAAAGGTACAAGCATAAGAACGCAGCCAAAATTTACAAATAAATTATTTATTGATTTCTATTTACAAAACTGCACCATTCTTAAAATTTAGACATATGTTAGTTAATATGCTTTCAATCTTGATCTCATGGTCTGTTAAAAAAGCACTTAAATTCTAGTTATTGAAATTCAAGAATTTTTGTAACAATCTTGAAATTGTCTTTTTAAAAGCCAATGACTTCATTTTTTGATAATTAAAGTGGGTCATACACGTGGGGTGTTCCACTCCCCCACTTATACAAGCAACTTTTGGCAATAATGCATTTGTCAAATCAAATGTTTTCAGAAACCAAGTGTTCCACTCCCTGGTTTCCAAGAACATTTCAGTGTTTGAAATTGTTGGCCTTACAAACATAACATACATTCAGAATGTGCTTATATAAAATCCATATAAAACTACATTTACACATATTTACAGTTAGATTATACATTTTTTTTATTAAAATAGGAGAATTTTCAAAATATACATCTGAGGTGATCTATGTAGATCCAACAGTAAATAACCCGTTTTGACTCAAACAGCCCATTATCAAGACAGTATGATTTCTTATTATTAAAGCTCTTTAGATTGTCTAGGGGAGATGTTCAGCCCCATATAATTTCTTTACTCAGTCACTCCACCAAACCAAATTTGGTATGAATATTTAAGATGTATCAAAATAATGAGTTTTGTTGGTGTTTTTTTTTAGGTTTGTCGATATGCTCCTAGTTTCATAAAACATACATGACTTGTTCTCAAAATTTAAAAGGAATGCGTGTATCACATTAAGATATGTTTTAAGTCAGATTAGAGATGGTACACTTCGGAACTCAAAGGGCACAGTTACTTGGATGTGGCTGCTGCTGCTTATATTGGTGGAGGTCCGTTCGGATACCTCAACATGGGTTCGAAACTGCGTGCGAAGTTGTTGGATAGGACGCAGGAGTAGTCCTGATCGGCGGGCATGAGGGAAGCCACGCCCAGAAGGAGCAGCATGAGGGCTTGGATGGGCAACGACGCTCGCAGTACGCGGCCGAGGAACCTGTAGCCCCTTGTTAGGACTCTGGTGTCGACGGCGTCGCCGCCCAAGCCATTGTCAGCACTGAAAATAAATAGAATAGACATATGTTATACAAAGAGGAGTAGCAAAAAGGGTAGACATATACACTTCTTTGGAACTGGTCGTTTGTTTACCATCCTTGGAATTTTAAAGTAAATTTCAAACTACAAAGCATATTGTTAAAATTAACTTTACAAGTTTTTCAACATTTAATTAATTATTGCTTTCTTTTAAAAGAACAACATATTTTTTAGAATCAATACATACTAAATTGTGACAAACATACTTTGCCTGGATGGAATGTGTTGAAGCTTGAAGCTGGCCTCCACTGGCTTGGTCCAGAAGCTGCAGAAAATGTGACAAAAATAATTTAAGCAAAAAGCTCTACTTATACTGTGGGCTTCCCCATGCTGTACGCTGTGCATTCTACCATCATAAATTGGAACAGATTAATTCTCTTTTAATATGGTGAGTGCTATTGTCCAGGGTAAAAGACATTAGAACACATTAAGAAATTAAATTTTGTTTGATAATAAAAAGAATAACACTACTGTACTGTAAATTCAGAATTTCACAAAAACTGTTCAAAATTGAAAATATTGAAGAAAAAAACAACCCACACAAAAGAGAAATGAAAGTTGGAACATGTGAGTGCACATCGCTAGGGGAAGCACAGTGGACAAAAAATACTTGTACTGTGATATTGCAAGGTGCAAGCAAACATTCATCAATTTGAAGAGATTTTTTCCAAGGGACAAAACTTGAGAAATAATTATTACTTCAAATCTCCAATAGTTAAATTTTTGTAACATTGCGATGTAGACTAAGGTGTCTGAAACTATATCACTAAAAACGTAAATGCAAGACCTAACAGAGACAGGGCTAACTAATTTGACAGGCTATCAGCATCTCTAAAACCAAGCACCTGATGCTTTAAATTATTTCAAATCATCTGTCAATCTTATTTTTGTGAGGACAAATCTCTCCTTTTGCACCAAAAACTGTATAACGACCACAGCAAGAACAAAATAATTGAAAAAGGTGTACTTACCTCACTGCTTAAGCTGGCTAATGATGCTACCCTAGCAGACCCATCCAGCTCGTCAGGTGAGCGACCAAGGACAGCACCCAGCTTCACACAGTACAATGCAGTAAGTCTTCTCAAAGATTGCAGTCGAAGGCGGAGATCTGTTAGTCTCTGAAGGGTGGAGCCAGCTCCCACTGGTGCGTCAGTGTGACGCAAAAGACTGTCAGCAGCCTCTTGCAGTGACATGACACGTGGTTCATAGCGTTCCAGTTCAGCGTGAAGGTCCTGTGACACAAGAGTTATTACAGTAAGATCCCATGATTTTAAACATGATATCTCAGACACATTAATTCCATGATTGCTTACCCTAAATTTCAAGTATTTTGCTTCAATCACCACTAAGTCTTCTGTAACATCAACTGGTTCAGTACTCTGAATATTTTCCTCCGTGGTGATCAACCACCTGGTTTGCTCTTCAAGCATTTGATGAAATTCATCGTTCTAAAAATAGACCAAACACAAAATTAGTATTGTAAGAGCAATTTTAAAATAGTTATTTGATTAAATAATCAATGCAGTGCAAGGTGAAAAAAAGAGAGGAAAAAACTATGTACAAACCTCCATTAAAGCTGTCTGCAATCTAGTCTGCCACACTCCTGCAGCCCTGCAGACAGCCTCCCAGCGGGTGTTGGCGCTGGCCAGGCGAGCTCGCAGTTCGCGAGCTCGATCTTCGTCATCAGTATGATCGGCAAGGTGTACTCCGACAATGTTCAGGGATTTGACTATTGAACGGTGACTGTCCAGGTTGAGAAGGAACTCCTGATGGAAACAACACGCATTAAAACAGCAGTTCACATATATAACTGCTAGGGGAGCTAATTATTAGCTAATGCCAACTTACTCTCTGCTCCTGTATTATGTCCTCCAGCTGCTCTATGCTAGAGGGGGGAGTCGTCTGTACGGACTGTTCTGCCTCTGCATGTTCGAGCCATTTCTCAAGCCTCCAGAGATCGTTATCTAACTGCTGCCAGTTTCTTCGAGAGCACAGAGGACAGGTCAGCTTACCACTAAAAGGGACAATAATAACAAAATTAAACACTGCAGTTGAAAAAGATGGGGCATCGGATACTAAAATTGTTCATAATTTAATGAAACATAAAAAAAAATTTCATTCAAAAGCACAAGGAAAATTGTTAAATGCACTCACTGAGAACAGTATAAAGCGTAGTCTCTGATATAGGAGGACCTGCAGAGGAGAGGAAGAGAAGCAAAAAGAATTTAAGAGCCACATTCCAACAAGATCTAGTCATGTTAATTTGGAGTTTTAACTATCACCCTTAGTAACATTTGTTAAATAAAAAGTAAAATTAATTCACCAAAACTATTAGACCATGCTTCTCGTCCATCACCAGGATGAAGTGATTATGCACACAGAATATTCAAAGGCTTTAAAAAAAAGGGAAAAAAAGAGGAAAGAAATGCCCGAATCGCCCCAAAAATAAACCTTAAACCAGGCTGCTGAAACCATGCAGAGATTTCAGTTCGATTTCTGGCTGGATCCCGTCAGTAAGGATAAAGCCATACGCGGGGGCCCGGGACGCGGCCAGGGGCCACTCCTCACCTCAGTTCGCGGATGTCCCTCTCGCGCTGGCGCGCCTGCTCTCGCAGCGTGAGGAAGCGCTCCTCGAGTACGGCCACGTCGTCGGCCATGGCCTCGGCGGGCGTCATGCTGCACTGCTGGACCAGCAGCGTGTGCAGGTGGCGCACCAGCTCGTGCGAGGCCTCGCACGCCGCCGTGGCCTTGCCGAGGGCGCGCGACGAGGCGAGCGACGCGTCGTGCGGCTGCCCGCTCTGGCCCTGGCCCTGCACCAGCAGGTCCTCCAGGCGGTCGGTGGTGGCGCGCAGTTCGCGCAGGCCCGACTGCAACTCGTGGAGGTAGCCGTCGCGCGCCGTCAGCCGCTTGGGCAGCGTGTCCACCTGCACGGCCGCCTCCGTCTCGAAGCGCAGCGTGGTGACCTGCACGCCCTGGTCCACCTGCTGCTGGGCCAGCGTCTCCAGCCGCTCGCGAATGTCTCTCCAGAGGCCCTGGTACTCATCCACCAGGGCCTGCAGTCGCTCCACCTCGTCTTGAGGCGCGGCGCGCATCAGCTCTAGGCCTAGCTGGTCAGCGGTGGTGAGCAGGGCGCTGCGGCTCTCCAGGTCTTGGGTCAACGCCTGCATGGGAAGGAAAGAGGGTGAAATTGGTCTCAAAACAATTCTACAGTATAATGTCCAACGGGTTCCAAAATATTACCTGCAGCTGCCTCGGGTCTCGAGTTGCCGGCTCCTGCAGCTGCAGCTGCGACAGGCGCGCGTCGAGTTGGGTCAGCACGAGCACGGCCTCGCGGTGCGCCGCCTCGAACTTGTCGTGCGAGGCGGACAGCGTCAGCAGGAACTGGCGCAGCTCCTGCGCCTGCGGCCCGACGGCGGCCCAGCGCTCCGCCAGGGCGCGCGACTCGCCCAGCAGCGAGGGGCAGTTGGTGAGCTCGCGCGAGAGCCGGCCGTACGAGGTCTCCACCACGTTCAGGCTGTTGCGCCGGCTCGCCACCTCGCGCAGCAGCGCGTCCAGCCGCTGCACCAGCCGGCCGAGGTCGCGCTTCGCCACAGGGCCGTCGGCCGCCTCGCGCACCTCCCGTACCGTCCGCTCGGCGCCCGTCAGCCACTTGCGCTGGTTGGCGCACAGCTCCGTCAGCTCCTGCAGCAGCTTCCACAGGTCCTTGATGGTGCGCTTGCGCTCGGCCGACAGCGCGCACACGCTCTTCCAGCGCGCCTCCACCGACTCCATGGTCTTGACGACGCTCGCCGCCGTGTTGGCGTCGCAGTCGCCGCGGACCACGTCGCAGAGCCGGTTCACGTCGCCGAACTCCTTGGCCTCGTGCTCGATGCGGCGCTGCAGCTCCTCGTGCTCCTTGAGGCGCTTGTTGATGGCCTTCTGCGAGGGCGCGTCCAGCTCCAGCGGCCTCTTGAGCTCCTTCTCCAGCGCGTACAGCCGCGCGCGAAGCTCGTCCAGGCGCCGCTGGAGCTGCGCGGCCGTCTCCACGACGCGCTGCAGCTTGTCGGTGCGAGCGCGTAGCAGCCCCTGCACGCGCTCCCAGACGTCCCGGACGCGGGCGCGCGCCTCCGCCACAGGCTTGGGTTGTTGCTCTTTGGGGTCCTTGGCGGCCTGCAGCAGCCACTCCGCTTCGCGCCGCTTCACGTCCACCTCGGCGCTCACGCCCGCCTCCAGGCGGCGCAGTGCTTCGGCCGGGTCCGTCATGGCCATGTCCAGGTCGGGTTCCAGTTGTCCTCCGGGTCTGTCCAGGCGCTCAAGGCGAGCCGCCTGCTCACCGGCCCAGCGCAGGAAGCGGTCCGCGCGCTGAACGTAGCGTTGGCGCTCGCTGTCCGCCTCCTGCAGTGCGAGTGCGCGGGTGCGCAGTCGGTGTTCTAGGTCGGCGTGCTTCTGCCACAGCAGCCTAACGCGCTGCGCCGTCGCCTTCAGGTCCGTCGGGCTCACAGCCTCCTTGAGCTTCTCCTCGCTGACGCCCAGCCTCTCCAAGTCGGCGACCGCGTCGTCCAGGCGTTGTTGCAAGCCGCGCACCGCGGCCGCGTCTCCGGCGCCGAGGCGGGGCGCTTCCAGCGCGTCCAGCGCGCGCGCCACTTCGCCCAGCTCCGCGTCCGCGGCCTCCGCGCCCGCGTCAAACTCCTGCGCCAGGGTCTGCAGCTTGACGAGGAAGTCGCGCCACGTCTCGAGGCCGGCGCGCAGGTTGCTGATGCGCTGCGCCACGGCGGCGTGCTCCATGCGCACCGAGGTGGCGAGCGCCTCGTCGCAGCCCGCCAGCAGGCGGCCCTGCAGGCCGGCCAGCTCGCCAGCCTGCTGCTCTCCGGACGGCACCTTGGCCAGCACCTCGCCGATGCGCTGCGCCAGCTGCGGCAGCCGGCGCAGCGAGATGTAGCGCAGCTGCAGGCGGCCGCGCTCGCGCTCCATGGCCTGCAGCCAGTGCAGCAGCGCGACGTGCGCCGCGCGGTACGCGGCCCACAGGTCGAGGCGCGCGCGCACCGCCTCGTGCCGCTCCGTGATGCGGCCCAGGGTGTCGTTGTGCAGCGCGTTCAGCTGCTGCAGCTGCTGCGCCACGGCCGGGTCGCCGCGCTCCAGGTTGGCGCCGCCGAGCAGGACGGACGCCTGGCTCGTCAGCAGGTTCTCGTGCACCTCGCACTGGTGTTGGTGCTGGGTGAGGGCGTCGTAGTCGCCGGGCAGCCCGGCCGACAGGAAGGCCTGCAGGTTCAGCAGGTACTCCTGCCACAGCCGCAGCGCCGCCACGCCGTCCTCGGAGCGCACCAGGCGCGCCGACAGGCTGCGGTACTGCTGGAAGGTGTCGCGGAACACCTGTTGCCACAGCTGCAAACGGACGCGTTGGTTTAAGTCAAGTTAGTGGACTTGAAAGAGAGGCAACGCAAGACGCGCGTCTTGCGACGACGACGGCCTGCTCGGTCGGCCCGCTACTCACCTCGAGAATCTCAACGACCGACGTCTCCCGGGCGGGGTCCGGCGTAGCGGGTGGTGTGTGGTCGGTCAGCTCGGCCGAGTTGTCCCGCAGCGCCTGCAGCTGTCCCTCAGTGGCACCCAGCTGCAGCAGGTGTTCTCGCAGCGCCACGAGCCGTTCTCCCGCCTCCGCATCGCTCTCGCTCTTTCGGTGGGGCTTGGACACCTCCTGAAGAGAAAAGGAGAACGGGAGGTAATCACACGCTAATTGTAAATACATTTTTCGCTTTATTTCATTTTTGTAAAAATAGAATAAAACATGAATAAAACCGAGAGGTAGAGTCCCCCATTCAAGCAGCGCTTGTCGACGTTGCCTGGAAAATCCCGACTCGATGACGACCTCAACTCAACACCTTCACCACCCCACCACAACAACTCTCCAACCCCCCCTTTCCCCCCTTCTTCGGATATCACTGCAATCTAAATAACCAAAGTTTTAGCTAAGCGGATTTTGCGTGCTTCTCGCTCGCGACTTAAAGAAAGGGTTGTGGGCGCAAGGGGATGGGGCGGGTTTGGTGGGGTTGGAGGTGGGTGCTGCCGAGTTCTCAGCCCCCCCTCGCCACGCGTGCCACAAACAATCAGCACGCACGCCACTCACCGCAAAGCGCGCCAAAAAGTTGTTTGCGCAGAACGCCCGTTACAAAACGCGCGGCGCTCACACCGCGAGGTGCCGTCTGCAACGCCTCCGCCCCCCGCCCTTCCCCCAACC